CGTCAATCTCCGTCCGAAAATAGACCAGCAGAAAACTCGAATAGAACGAAGAGAGCAGCCGGAAATTCGCGAGCCGCGAGATCGCCGTGACACCGTGTCCGGCGCTCGTTGAAAAGCTCGAGCAAGCTCGTCCGCGGTTCCGTGGATTCGCGGGATCCTGTAAAACGGCCTTAATAGGAGTGTTTCCTGATCCCGGAACGAGTAACGAGACTCGGCGTACGCGGAGCGTAGGGTTCGTGGGAAGACGAGCGAGTCTCGCTCGCCGGAGGGTATGCACCGACTCTGCACGTATTCCCTCGTCCACCGGCGAGAGCTCTGCCGGATCACTCGAGGACAGAGCTTGCTACCTTTGACTCTCCGTGGGGGAAAAGTTCTCAGAGCTGATTCAGTGAGAAATTTCATGTGGATGGGCCTATTAACGAAAATCGGTTTCGACTCGTTTGGCTCGCATTATTGATATTTTGAAAGCGTCGAATATTCGAAGCGATCTTGAACATAGTCTCATTCGAATGCTAGAAGAATTCGGAAGAATTCTAGAAGAGTTTTATGATTTCAGAATCCTAGGAAATATGTCAGATATGGAAAGCGTCATTCAGTTTCCTCGCGGGTTTTCGTGGCGCTCGAGCGGTTGCGCGACAGCTTCGGCGTGGACCCGTCTCGCTGCACTCCCGGAGCGCAGATGCAATTCGAATGTGCATGCTAGACCGGAGGACGCGCGGCTAGTAATAGATGTCAGGGCCGAATCGCCGAGCCCCCACGATCTCAATTAGATCAAATGACGAGCGATTAAGCGCGATTAGCCGCGAACCTTTCAGTTTTTCCCTACCGTCGACGCAACGGGCGGACCGTGACTCGCTGCTCTTCGTGTTTCGTCGGCTGCGCCGCGATGCTCCTCGCTGAATCGACGCTGGGAGTCAGCGTCCAGCGACGCGGAACGTGGAAACGAATCGACGCTCTTCGAGTTTTCAGATTTCGGGCTCCGGTCTCTTTCGTTGCCGGTGACGAGCGCGCTCGCGTTATTGGGAAACGGTAAGAAAATGGTAAACAGATTCCTTATGATAAGATAAGGAAACTTTTGGGATTGACCCCTCGATCGTGGCCATTTCGACCGTGTATCCGTTGCGTATGGATCTTCTCGAGATCTCGAAATGAATTCTCCTTGAATATTATACCTAGCAACGAATATAATAATTTTGGAGTAATGTAAAGATCACCGCAGAAGTAGGTACTTTCAAAACGAAATTGTGAAAACGAGGAAACGCGGATGCAACCCAGTAGTTTGAAATATCGACAGCAACGTCTATTCGAAACAGAGGTAGAAAGAACAGTCCACGCGGTACGGTGTTCAATTACTAGGTATACGATTATTAAGTCCGATATTCGCCGCCATTCATTAAATTTCTTTGAGCGAGGCAGCAGCAGCAGCGGCGGTGTCGATAGCCGCGAGTACTATGGAATACGCCCCCTACTGTCTAGGCTGGTTTCTCCCCTTTCCGGCTACCCCGAGATCGTACAGCCCTGGCTCCGAGTACAACAACGCCGCCAGAAAGAAAGGGACTACCTTACGGGGAACAGCGGCAGCGTTTCCCAACCTTCGGGAACCTCTTCGGAACGCTCCCCATTCGGACATGGAACTACCGATAGCGACGGGTTGTTGCCAACACTTGGCAGTCGAGTCACTTGGTAGCTTGCCACTCGAACCTTCGAACAACGCTTCCTTCCTTTTAACACTTAGCCGCCTAGAAAGAACTATAACTACAACCTTCTCCATTATCTTCAATTGAATTCATTCAGTGAATTTGGTTAGAAACTATGTTTTGTAAAACAAGAACCGTATTTGATGAGTTGCAAATAATCCCACGTCAAGACTTACTAAATAACAAAAGAAAAGATGAACTGCCCATTCGGTTGGCTAAGTGTTAACACTAGAACCACCATTCCATCGGTTTCGATTCGCAATTATCGATATCTTAATAGCATCGAATATTCGTAACGATCTTGGAAACGAATCGTTTCATTCGAATACTGTAGCGCACCGCCGCATACTCGGATATCCTAGAATAGACGAAGAAAAGCAAGAAACGATGAGAAGCTTAAACCCTTGTTACACGCAGCCCGAATGATAATCTGCTCGTGAAGCAGAAGCGAGCCCGAGAGGTTGGCCAGCGATGAGCCGAAGGATTGGGAAACCCTGAACCCGACTCGCCGCGGTTATGCAGCCGGGAGTTTCATCCCGCACCACCGCGTTACACGAACGAGGAAGCGAAACCCTCGGCGAAGGAGACGGGACAGGAGAAAGAGGGAGAGAAAGGACGAGAGAAAGGAAGAGACGGCCGGGCCGAGGGCAGTGCACGCGAGCCGGGGCCGCGAGGCACGCTCATTAGAAATAATAATAATTACGGCGACGCGCCGGTAATAAATGTTGCCCCGCTTGCCCGATACGCGGCTAACCATGGAACCGAGTTAACCATCCCCGCCCGCCACCTGTTAATTAAATCAATGGAACACGATTTATCAACCGTTAAGACACCTCTTCCACCGGCTTCTCGCTGCCTCTTCGAAACCCCGCTCGTCCCTTCGATTCCCTCCGATCGTTGCCGGTTTCTAGGCGCTAACCTCGTGAACGTTCAGCTGAGACCAGAAGGGAAATATCGGTAGGCAGTTCGAGTTTATTCCGAATGAAAAGTGCGAGAAATGAATGAATTACTCGATGTTCGTGATACAAATTCTGAGTCCGACTGAACTCCGAATATCGTACAACGGGAAAAAGGAAAGTTCTGGCTTTAGAAACGCGAAAGCGCCAGGAAGCTCGCGGCGCAATCACGGACAATCTCGCAATCTAAATGCAAATTGAAGTTAGATTTCGCGAGGCACGCCCATTAACGCGGCCTCGGAAAACACGGCAAAATATGAGTCGTGCGAGGAAGGAACTCGCGAAACTCGATGTCGAAACGGTAGAACTTTTCTCCTGGAAAATTGGAAGCGGTCGAGTCGTTCGAAACGCAGGAACAAACGAGTTCTCCGAATGCTTTCAATGTTCAGCGCTGACACGAGCAGTTGGTTATTTGTCCGCGCGTCCGCGTGAAATCCGTCTACTTTTCATTCGGCGGGGCCGATCGTTTCGGCGAACGAATGGCCGGAATACTGCAGGGTCATTACCGTGGCACCGTTAGCCGCGCAATGCGACTTGCACCGCCATGTTATTTCAGGGATTCGTTAGACCCGGTTATGTGGGTCGTTAACCCGCCCTGAAGAGGAACCAGACGGACAGACGGACACGCGTGCATAGATCGACCGGCGGGATAAACGAGAATCCGATGACCAGGCGAATCGTTTCCTCCGGAGGAACGAAGTCGAACGAGTCTGGAGGACGGCAAACCCTCTAGTTTCCACAGTCTGCGTGCCATCTACTTGGAAATACCTAGGCAAATGGGTATTCTCGACGATCGTCGAGTCTGTTAGTTATTTCCCGGCGCACAGACGCGACAGTGGAGACGTCGTCTGGCAGTCTGGACTTGACCTTTGCCGGACAGGAAGCAGGGAGCGACTCCGATAGACGAGAGGACGGGAGACCATTAGCCAGGTACGGACGGGAAATGTTCGGGTTTTCTGGTCGAGACCTTAGCCCTTGTATGGAAGTCGAAAATCAAAGATGGAGACGAGAGCGGGTGAAGAGGTGAGCGAGCATAGGCGAGGGGGGCGGGACGGAGAGGCTTTAAAGAGCCGAAGTGAGCCTTCTCTCGCAGGGGGAACAGGTTCCCGGCATGGTTACCGCGTATTCACCGAGCTGAAAACCTTGAGCTCCTACCAGCGGAGAGAAAGACGCGTCCGCTCCTCTCCATTCGATGATGCTGCTGTGTTGGCCGGTGGTTTCTCTCCACGGACACGCGATACGATTGAAAAATTCGGGCTCGAATGAACCGACTCGAGGATAATACCGCCTCGGGACCTTGCAACCTCTTAACTCCTTGTCCTACGATTTTCTTCGGGACTCTGCTCGTTAGGCTCGGTTTGGTTAATCGTTTACCCTTTCTGCGCGAGGATTTCTGAAAATATGGAACATTTTTAGGAGAGGAATGCAGTGTATTTACGTATCGAGCTTGCGAATGCTAGGGAACCTTCATGTTTCACAAGTTGAAACTAAGGCAATATTCTTCATAACGATTGCTCTATCTTTCTGGTATCTCGTGCATCTAATGGAATTCGGTTCGTTCGTCACCAAGGAAATTAATGTTTAAGTTTATGCAAACAATGGTGTCGCCCGAAGTCGGCTGACGTGCTAACTATTGTTAAATTAAAGGGGTTAAACTGACGTACCGGGCGACAGAGAGTCACTCGTCCAGCCAGGGGAAACGTGGACTTACATTTCATTTCCTTCTGGCAAGGCGTGCATGGGTCGAAGAAACGGAAACAAAAAGAAAAGACGTTGCTCCTTTGTTCTCGCTTTCTTTATTTCTGATCGCTGAACTGTGCCGGCGGATTCCTGCTCGCAGCAGCCATTTCGCAAACAACCTGATCATTAAACTGAATCCAGCAATTCGGAGATTAATCGAGTGAATCGTCAAGACGCAGCGTCGTTGGATTTTTATCGAAACCAATTGCCACGTTGCATAAGGTTCAAAGTACCATTACATTATTCTCGCTATACCATACGCTTGACGGATTAATATTTCAAGGTTATGTTACTGCTTCGTAACCGGCAATTTTTATCGGAGAAAAATCAAAATTAATCGACGGAAGAAATGAAAAGAATAATGCCACAAGATCCCTGTGACACGTGAAAAATAAACATGGCCGCCATGGTCGTAAGGAAGGAAGTTTGAAAGGAAACGAACCTGTGAGACAATCGGAGGTTTGCGAAGGAAAAGTGTCGAGGATCGCAGACGAATCGGACGAAATGGTGGTGACGGCGTTGATTTCCCTTGGCAGGCAGCTATACGCACCTGATAGAGTTGCCCCCCACGCTCGCCGCGCCTCGGTCAACGCGGAGCACAAGATGGCGGGGAGTGGTGGGGCCCGGAACGAGTCCCTGACTCTCGGTTCAGTCGCTGTTCGAACGCCGGGCCCCGACGGTGCGTTGCGCGGCCTCATCCGGACCCTCGCCGATTCGTCTCTCTCCGTATAAAAACGAGCACGTTCCTTTTCCGCGTGATCCCCTCGTGAGACAAAAGTTGCCGGGCCGAGAGAAAGAGGGAGGCAAGTCCAGTGCGCAACGACGCGCGGCGTTCATCGTTGTTATCCTTCCCCTCTCCTCCTTCGATTCTCGAGTGTTTCGAGCGAGTCGAATCGAGATCCGTTTTGGGGATCGATCGCCGGGCCGCGATCGCGAGAGCTCGACGCTCGGAAAAGGTGAGGCGAAAGTTGTGAGGTGGCGAAAGGGATCTCGGTGGACCGACGAAAAGAAACCGAAGAGGAGCTAGAGAAAAAGAGAGCGTGTCGGGACAGGTCTCTCCGTCCAGCGAGAAAGAGATTTCGAGGAAACCCAAGCGAGCCAGCCTCTCTCGCCGACCAACAGGAAAAAAGCCGATCGACCAATAAGCGCGTGGTTCCCGCGCGATTGGCCCGTGGGGAAACGAAACGACCACAGAATCGTGCGAATCTAGCTTGGGTTCCTCCGTGGATTTCGGAAACGGGTTTTACCTAGCCAGACTTCGGCCGACGCTGATCTCGAGAAAGGTATTGTTCAGTAAAATCGCGAACGATTATTTATCTACGATTTTACTTCCGGGTGAGCGCGATCGCGATCGGTCGATCGCTACGGGTACTTTTAATCTTTTCCACCGAAGGTACGAACATCTCCGTAGTTTCGTTTTTCCAAATTCATTTGTTTGCTTCTCGTACGATTCGGTGTTTCGATGGAAACCGATTTTTTCGTACCTTCGACGCTTCGAGGGATAATGTATTCGATGGTACATGCGGATTCGCCATATGCGTGTCCGAGTCGCGATAACCTCCAATAGTTGACCGACTTTCTTCGACGTGAATCGTGGTGCTCTTGCGTGTATCGAAAAATGCTTGGAAACCGTTCGTTGACAATGTAATCAGAGTGACCAGAGATGCCGAGTGACACGCGATACGCGACGCTCTAATCTTCTGTTTACGTTCGTACCGGCGTCGGTACACCGATTTCGGTCGAAACTGCCTTAACCTCTGGGAAGAAAGCAGGCCTATCCTTTGCGCGGGAAAACCTACGGTTTCTTTAACGAATCGTTAACTGCCACGGCACGCGAGTGTGCGCGTTTTATTAAGGCCGTGGTCAATCGACCTCAATTGCTAGCCTTTTCGACCGATTAATTGCATATTCGCTGCGATCGGGTTCTTGAGAAATTGCCGATCTATCGATCGAGAATCCTAGCGGGAATAAGGCGTCGTGCATATTGCGACTTAGCCATGGATTATCGGGCGCTACGTTGTACAACATTAATGGTATAATTATTAACGACATTAATTTTATTTCACCTATTTATGGGTAGAGCTCCTTGGACATTGAAGCTTACATATCTGGACTTTAATCTCTGCCATCATAATTATTTCCACCTTACTTTATAATATCAAATATTTCAACGAATCAAAGAAACTACCCTAAAATTATTAGATTTTCCACAAATTCAAATTTCTGATAACGAAAATAAAAGATCGAAGGAATGTTATAGCATTTTTCATTTTCACTAGGGATACCATAAAAATTAGTCGCAGTTGCTGATAGATTACAAAACCATCTGGAATGCTAAGGGTTAATTCGCAGCTGTGTACATAACCTTTATATCACGATGAACAGGTTACAAAACTACATGTAACTATTGAAATAGAGAATCGAAACTGGTAGAAACTAGAAGGAAGATAAAGCCTGGACACAGCCGAAAAGAACACTGAAGCAAAACACGATAATGAAATAGGTTAACGAGGAGAAGGAAAAAATGGAATGTTTATCGAAACACGGAAGTGGGTGTCGAGGTTAGCGTCAGATAGGGCTGCACCGTTGGTGTTAAATGTAAAACAGAGTCCAGCGATCATCGACTTAATTCAATTAATTCGGGCTCGCGTTTATCAGTGGAACACCATCATTAAGGTTATCGTTTAAGCACAGCTTATACTCGTGCTACGATAAACCGTAGATTGCGGAGGCCGTTTAACGGGAGGCATTCGCCAGCGCGAAACCATAAATACCAAGAGGACTAGGAATTAGCCCTAAGCTACCCCCGAAACTTTCCATTGTTCGTAACAGCCGGTCGCGTTGTTCCACGATCGTTTCCATTCGGAGATAAGTTGCAAGCCAAAGCGGCCAGCTTCGCGTTTTTAATTTATTCAAATGTTCGTATTAAAAGACAAATGGTTTTTGCGCGTGATTCAATTAACCCATTTGCATTACAAGCGCATACATGCGCACCACCGTTATGTAATTTGAATATCACAAAGAAGGGAAGATACATTTTATGAGTTTCACTTTTTTATACGTCGTGGAGCATTTTTATTTTGATGCAACTGAAACATTTATGGTGGAGCAATGTTCCACTTTGCAAATGGGTTACAATATCGTGTCAGATGAGACGATTTCTAAGATGGTTTAATAAATATAAATGTCGTTAAGTCGTGTTAAGTTTAAACATTGTACTTGTTAACAGTTTGTATGGTTTCCGCTAAATCTAGACATGGAAAGAGCATGGAAAGTTTCCTTTTACGGTGTTAATTATATTAACGATACAGTAACACATGCACCTAGAAAATTCAATAAGGCAAGGGGTTAAAATTTTCTATTCTCCACTTTATGGGGTTAACCACTTTGGCGAATGAGCGGCGCAGATGGGAGCAGCGGTTCAGGATAATCTCGAAAGTAAAATCGATGGACAGGACGTGAACTTTCCGGCGATGAACGTTATCGGGAGTAGGAAAGCAGCTTGGCCGCAGGATCAGAGGCGCAACGGTCCTTCGAGTTCTTTGCTGCCAGGTTTCAACCGGCTTGATAACGACGCGATAAGAAAGGAGGCCTCGCGTTGTTGCGCAAAGGTCCATAGCTATACGGTGTCCCAAAGTTCTCGATTTTCCCTTGGAAATGTTCACCTATTCCTGTCCGTTAGTTCGGTGGTTGCAATATTCCCTTGGAAAGGGCAGCGTTTGCAAAATATCCGAGCAACGAGTAATGTGAGCATAAGATCCCACGAAATATCCTGTTGTAGACTTTAGGGAGTAGTAGGGTGGTCGTAAAGTTGTCCAGGTAGTGGATAAGGCTAGCACTCAAACGACAGTCGAAGAACGTCCAATTCTTACTCACTGCTTCTTCAGAAACGTCTTAAGAAATCGATGAACGCAAAGTAATCGATCATTGCCAATTAACAGTTAGGCGACCGTCTAAAAAGAACTATAACGACCTCCTCCATTATCTTCAATTGAACTTACCGCTATATGTGCGGTAATGTATAAATGCTATAACATTTCTTCGATCTTTTATTTTCCTTCTCAGTACAAAAGTAGAAAATCGAATAATGTTAGGGTAGTTTCTTCAAGATTCATTAAAATATTTAATATTACAACTGGCGCAATACTGGAGCCTAGAGTTCAAAGGGTTAATGTAGTTCACTAGAGTTCCATGGATTTCCCGAGAATTCTCCGTATTAGATTTCCGACTAGCGGGTCCCACGGGTAAATCCACGGGTCCCCAGCCATTCGGGGTACTTTAGGACACCCTGTACACAAAGCGCGTTATCTGTAGGTTCGAGGAACTGGCGGCGGGCCACTGTGTGTCTAGGAGATCCCAGTTCAGCCACGCTCAACCGAAAGTTTGTCGGAGATAATGCCGGTTTCCATAAAATCGTCTCGAGGAGGATAAGCGTTGCACGTAGGAGCGTGGGCCGCCGCGCATCGGTTTATCGCGTGTTCCGTTCAGACGGCTTAGGCTTGGTCCACATTGTCGGTCAGTCCTCGATCCGTTCTCGGTTCGATCAAATATTATTCGCTTACGTCGGAGCCCGATAGTACGATACAGTCGTACTCGGTACTCCGATTCGATCTCGTTCGAGGCTTGCTCACCGAAGAGAACGCGCGACGAAAGAATATCGCTCGAGCCGGTACTGTGGATGGTGCCTTAGAAGTTCGTCACCGAGCGAACGTCCTCAAGCGCGTTTAAGATGAAATTGACCCGCAGGCCACGGGGAGAGGTCTCGTCTCGAGAAACGTTTCTCCAGAGACAGCAGGCAGGAGAGAGACGGCGAGCTCCGCTTCTTCTCGCGATTCTTTAATCCCGGGGGCCAAGAACAATGGAGAATAGAGGACAGTCGGCCATATTGTTCTGCGTTTCCTAAATCGTGTCTCGTCTTCGATCATCCTGTTCTTCTTGGCGAAATGAAATGTATCTAATGGAACCGGCTGGTGCAGAGGGATTTACAATATGGAGGACTCTGCACAGTCTCGAAAAGGTTCTAGCTTCATTTTAGCGAGTTGTATAATCCTCCACAGGGTATCTTACAATACAGTCGTTTTTTGAATATTTATTCTGTGCGCCAAGTAGATTTAATGGTTTTCTTGCACAGTATGGTCGACAATCTTCAATTTTCTAACAAGGAACGGTAGGTTTTCGTTTGTATACCCCATTCTGACCCACTGCCCCGCGATAACTGCGACCCGAAGCGAGAAATAATTGGAAAAAACTTGTTAAATAAGAGATAGTATGTGGGCAGCTCGTCCCCGCAGCCAGCGGAGGAGCTGTTAACCCCGTTCGAAACGCGTCACGCGCGGAGAGCAGCGTTAAAGGCACGGCTACACGTTTTACGCGGCCAGTCCTGGAACTGGTTTGTCCGGAATGGAAATCCCGGCGAGGACCGACCGAGCGAACCTTCGATCCGGGCCGCGCCCGATGCCCACGATTTCGACCTGGCCGAAATCACTCGTTTCACAATACTAATTAAATGGAAGCCCTGCTTAACCCGTTAACCTGGGAACACCACTTAAACTCTCCCTCTGTGCTCGACGATTACTCCTCCGATTCATTTCCATTCTCATTTTTTCTACCTCGGCTCGTTTCCATGCAGATCGCTGCGTTCGATTGCAATAGAATATTCGTCCTAGTGCGGATTCCGTTGAGCATTATTATGCCTGCGTAGCGTACGAGTTAACAATTAATTTTTTCAACCGAGTCGCAACATTGATCTACTTACTGGTACTTGAAGTATGCAACTAGGATTAAGAAATCAGAGAAAGAAGTTTTCTCTTGATTTCTGATAACGTTACTTTAAATATTTGGAAAAGAATTGAACGGTATGGTGGTTAACGGTTCGTGAATATTCACGGTTAGCTTGGTGGGAAGTTAAAATTCGTGAAGAGTATTCGAAATTCGAGTGGTAGGAGGTTCAAATTCCCGGGGAACATTGCGCATTCGAATGGCGTGAAGGACAAATGCGTGGAAGGTGGCTAGAGTTCTAGGAAATTGGAGTTGTTAAGATCGAAGTCCCACGATTCTAAATTGAGAAGCTCGCGACGCACATGCGAGCGTTTACGCGACGCGGCTCGCTCGTGTCGTAAAAGAACAGTTCTGCAGTCGAACGCCACCGGCGTTTCGCGCGTTATCTCCAATGCCGCGCGCGTCTTTGCTTCGTTTTTGACCGGATTTAGCGTGACTCGTGAAACGCGGCGTGGACGTTCTTCGCAATTCGAAGGACCTTCGTACTTTCGCAATTCCATCGGAT